TCCCTCCTCCCACCCCCCCTTTTTAAATTGTGTTGCAGTTTGTATCTTCAGAAGCAGAGCAGACAATGAAAATGCAAAATCTTTGGTCTGGGAAAGCTAGCTTAATTATGCAAAAGAAAAAAAACCTAAGTATTTTCTCCTAAACCCAAGCAAAAATGTTAGTGGTTCAGAGGATTTCAGTAACCAAAGGGGTTATTATAATACTCTGACCTAATTTACTGAGAAATCAGATACTAACCACAAATGTTTTTCTTAAAGTGAGTTACCAAGTTCAATATTATTCATGCAGAAAGCTCACAAATGAAATACTGCCATAAGAAATGCTACTGTATACACAAATATTGTATATTTCTTGGGCTAAAAAAGCATTAAAAATTGTATTTTAATTATGTGTTGGTCATCTTCATTGGGATGAATCTCATTATTAATTAATTTAATTAATTTAATCGGAATGATAAAACTCCTCGGGAAATAGGGTTTCATTAAAGAAAAATGTTAATAAAATAGCAGAGAATTTCATCTTTTTTTAAAAATTGAAAGTTTTATGGCCAAACCCCCAATTTTTGTTCTTGTCTGTTTTAAAAGGTTGATATTTCCCCAAAAATGCAGACACTTTTTGTGAAAAAGAAAATGTAGAGCTGAAACCTCATTTTTCCATCCAACACAATTCAGACAGGAAAATTTCTATTAGTCCTTCTTAAATATTAACATGTTATGTGGACATTTACATGCCCTCTGGAACACAGGGAGTAATTTATTTTTATGTATGAGTAAAATAATATTTTTCTATCATCTTCCAAATACAGACAAATATATTTTTATATTTGGTATGGTAAATTTTTGTATCAAATTTGCTGGGCTCATATAAAGGTACTGGAGGAAAACACACATATCTGAATGACATAACACAGGAAGGCTATGTTTGCTTATATTGCGCAGTGTTGATTTTATTTTAATTTCTGCAAGGCTTATTCAATGAGATTAATAGTTATATGAAGGATAGAACAAGCTACTCAGAAATAAGTGACCCAAAAGACATTTAGAGTCAGCTGTAAAGTTGGACCAATCTCAAATCTGAAAAGATATTTAAAAAGTATAATTCATAAAATAGCAAAACATAAATTGGCAATCTGTGAAACTGGCAGAGAAGGGTGTGGTAATTAACTGAGACTCCATATCAGCAAAAGATTTTAGAATGTGATTTATTCAACCCTTCTTCTTCAAAGTACTCATGCTTATTCTTAACTAGAAGATTTACCCATCATTGTTCAGATCCTTAACTCGATTACGTTTTGTTTTTTGGAAAATAAAATTAAAATGTCCATGCTTCATTTCAATCATTTCTCTGGGGTAGGGGTCAGTAGTCAGGTTTCCCCAGGAGAGAGAAATACTCCAGCCGTCTCTCACCGCAGCAGCTTGGAGCCAGAGGCTATATCTACATTCGTGGCTTCCCTTCCTGCACAAGAAATATGCAAATGAGGCTACGCGTGGAATATCTCTGAGCCTCATTTGCATACCTAATGAGTCGTCATTTTTGCAAAAGAAGGTCTTGCACCAGAAGGAGCTGTCTACACTACCCCTTCTTGCACAAGAAAAACCCTCTTGCGCAATTCCGCTGCGCCGATTATTTTCAGGAATAATGGCATTGCGCAAGAGGGTTTTTCTTGCACAAGAATGGGCAGTGTAGACAGCTCCTTCTGGTGCAAGACCTTCTTTTGCAAAAATGACGACTCATTAGGTATGCAAATGAGGCTCAGAGATATTCCACGCGTAGCCTCATTTGCATATTTCTTGTGCAGGAAGCTGCGAGTATAGACATAGCCAGATAGAAGCACTTCTCCATGGCTGCTGCAGCACCAGCGGGATCAGCTGTGTAGGGGTATATGTTCCCTGATTGAAGCAGGTCCAGCTGCATGTGCCCCTCTGAGCTTCCCAGCCAGAGTGAGGAATGGAGCAAACTGTGCACTTCCCCTTACTCCCTGGCAAAGGAAACATATAGCAATGTTCCTTTATGAATCAGGATGGGAGGCTTGGGGTTGGGGCAGCTCCTAATAGGGGGGAAAGCACCTCCAGCCAGCCCCTTTCACCTGCCGTGTGATTCTGTCTCTATTCTGTATGGTTTTATGAAAAGCAATCCCATTGCAGGCATATCACATTTTCCTTGTACAACCAAACCCTGGCCTTGCTATGATAAGAGAAATCTGTCTACCAAATTTGGTGGACCTAGCTCTTACTATTTCGGAGGAGCTCTTTATCAAACAGATAGACAGACAGACAGACAAACTCTCTCAAACATATAGTACATGCCTATGAACTAAGAGCCTGAAGTTTTAGCTTTTACATTCTCCTGTGAGTGAGAGAAGTCCTTGTCCTGTGTAGGTAGCAACTCTTCATGTGCAGAGTCCCACTGGGATCAGTGGGGGTTTGTTTGCATTCAGTAACCATTTTCCCCACATTTACTCTATCCTTCTGTTCCTGACCATATATTTTGTAGCACATTATTCAGGATGTTTTCAAATGATTGAAGCAAGGAGTTTTGTTTAAACAAGATTAAAGTTAAGTGAGCAGAAAAGAAAGAAATTACATGGGACTAGTCGACGACGATTGTAAAATAAACAAAAATACAAACATGTAACAGCACAATCCTATTCTACCTAAAACTAAGGAGAACTAAAACTAAAACAAACAAGAGTGTGAGCATGGATTTAAATAGTAGACAAATTCATCATCTTGAACTTTTGCATCAGGCTGTGCTATAGACATATTCCAATTATTAACAAAGACTTTTTTCTGGAAGTTCTGCAGGTAAGATTATTTTTAAAGGAATTTTCTAATTTAAGGTTTTGATGTTTCATTTTAAAATGAATTCCATAAAAATAAAATCAGATTTAACTCTAGCCTGTTTTACCCTTGTAACATCTCCTGAGCATAGGATTTTCTTACAGATTTATTCCTAAAGGGAAATTTGGAAGCATTGTGTGTTCAGATTATTTCATAAAGATAATCATAATCAACCCACATAAAATAATCACTATATGGTAAAATTTTGAATCTTTTAAGTAGCCAATTCCATTAAGCAACTTTTCATCACCAGAAAGAGGTTGACAAACTAGTAACTCCAAACTGTTATAAAGTTTATTAGGATCTCACTACTGCTGAGAAATGCATAATTTATGGTATTAAGATCTGATTAAGTGTTAAATAGATGTCAGGAGAGATCTCCACAGTAATCTACTTAGCTTTTAATGCCTAATTATCACTTCATAGTGGAGTGAAGGCTGAATAATTGAGAACTGCAACACTTAAAGAACTCAAACAGGATTTTTGAATGCAATTAAGCAAGATATTCCCCTATCAAGAATAAGTTTAACATGTACAGAGAACAAAGGAGAAATAAGACATTTTTAGAAATAGGAAGGAAAATCTTTTCATCATTTTTTTATTAGTTATGCATTTAAATGCATTTAACTAGACCTTGTAATCTGATCTCCAGATGATTTTGTTTAGGAAGGATCATTTATAAAGCCCCACCCATAGCTCCTGGATAAGGCAAAACAAGTTAAAAGAAACAGAAGAAGCTACTTACTTACAATACAAATAGGTAAGAAAGCAGGGAAATCAGTTGGGCTGTGTCTACACTGGCGCGATCTGGCGCAAAAGCGGCTGCTCTCATGCAAAAACTTGCTGCCCATCAACACTGGCCGCGTATTCTTGCACAAGTAAACTGACATTCTAATGTATAAAATTAGGGTTTCTCTCCCACT